CAAGGTTGGAGCATGGTGTTTCTTAGAATCAGTGTACAATCATGTGTCTGTGGACACAGGTATCATTAAACTCAGTATTAAATGTTGAGAAGGAAGATTTTTCACAGACCAAGATTCTCAGTTTCAAGAATAAGGCGTCTCTTGAAGGGCCTTACCTTCTGACTTTCTACCTAGACACCACAGACCATGTTTGACTGAAGTGATACAAGCAGCTATTTGCAGTGTGACTTGACAAAATAATGGGATCACTATGCTACTTCAGAACCTTGTCCCAGCAGACCATTACAACCAGTGAAGTGGATCAAGTGGTTACATAAGACATTAGAACTAATGGAGTGATTTTATTCGTACTAGAACAAATCCACCCTTGCATGCCCTGTGACTGACACTAAATATCTGGGTAACCTTATAGGGTAAGACATTTTCTAGCCCTAAAAAATCACATCTCTCTCCTTTTCTCATGTTCTAAAAGCCAGGTAGGTTCTTGTTTCTTATGATGAATTCTGTGCTGTAGAACAGAGAGAAAGATTGTTGTTGAAATTGATTGTTCCTGTGAGCAGGGAAGACTCTTTTAAAGGCAGTTTGAGAGATTTTATTTTCATTTTCCATGAATAGGCATGGGCTGGCACTCAAGACAAAATTCGGTGCATTTTTAAAGCAAGTAACAAATTGGACCTCAGCTGAATGACAAGCAGGTGGCAGAAGGACACCCACTCTAAATCCAAAATGATATGGGAAGGATGACCAATGCTGTTCTTTTCGAATCTTGCAGTCACCCACAAACTTCAGGAATGAGTTTCCACGGTTCTTTTATAAAGATTGTGACTGTATTAAATCTCTGAAATCCAAAAAGTTCTTGGTGAAAGCCTTCTCTGGATCATGATGTCTCTGATGATGGAAATATACAAGTACTTAATGGGAGGGTACGCTGAAATTTGAGGAAGAGTTTTCTCAAAGGACTGACAGGGATAGCACAAGAGATAATAGACATGTTGGAGAATTACAAATTGCAAGCAGATGTAACATAAGACTTTTTTTTTATCATAACAGTGGTACGATATTGGAACAGGACTGACAGAAGCTGTGAAATCTCCATCCTTGGATCTTCCAAAGCTAGTCTGGACATGGCCCTCAGAATGTGCCTCGGGCAGAAGATGGGACTAAGGATCCCCAGAATCCCTTATAACCTAGGGGGTTCAGAACTGCTGTTTCAATTCAAGTAGACACTCTGGACCACATCCTGAAGTTAGTCTGAATATTTTATTGAGTTTAGGGGGTAATGAAGAAGGAAATAGTATTGACAATGACACAAAACTTAGAATTTCTCTTGGGCCTGAATTCCAGATATTGATGTAAAATATTTATGGGGATTTGGCATGTAATGAGACGGAGTCCAGTGATTAAACCCTGAATTCCCTGACATTTGAAATTACATGAGAAAGAAGATGTACCGATTTTTCTCAGTCACCAAGAAGAGAACAGGGATTTGTGTAATATATGTATCTCCTTTGAGTTTTTTCGTTTTCTACAAGGTCAGCCATGGGGTCTTCATTTCAGACTCTGTGACTGATGCAGGCTACCATGGGTAGCAGGCAAAGAAAACCTTAGTCCTATCATGCTCAACAGTTCTTCTGCTAAAATGTACAGGGAAAAAAATGTCAAATATCAATTTCAAAGGGTAATAATCAATTTATGTGAGCAGTGAAAAATGTTTTTGCCTTTCTGGAAATCCTGCCAGAATACCCTCCTGCAGTCAGAGCTCAGGATTACGAGGTCACCATCCCATATTTTCACTCTGGAGAGATGATGTTTGTCACTCTGCCTCACTGAGTCATCAAAAAATCACCCGTACACCTTCCAAGTCTGAAATACTAATCACTTAAAAGAACTGTAGGTCTGTGAATATTTAGAGCCTGATACTCTTTCTATTGTAAATTATTAGAATTTTTTTGTCATTGGAAGGGAAATGGTTTCCTAAGAGATCATGTTCAGGCTTATGAGAGCCAGATTTTACCCTTCAAAGGCGTATTTCTCAGTCCTAGCCCTGAATCTGTGGATGCTCAGGGCAGACTGCTCTTACTGGCTATTATTGTGTCTGACACTATTCTTCTTCAGAGTATTCCCCGGGTAACATCTCACTTCTCTCAGGGGATAGTAATGATAGTAATGTCAGTGACTTTTAAAAATAGTTTTTCTTATGTGGAATGTCTCTGATGCATACAAGTATTCTCTAAAGGTTAATATGAGGCATTGTCAAAGTTAAGGAAATGTAAAGTTTCTTTTTTTTCTTTTTTTTTCCTTTTTTTTTTCTTTTTTTATTATCTAGAAACCAAGATAATAATGGAACCATATTTATTTCTGAGAAAAATAGTGGATAGTTGCCATGCTGGTTTTTATGTAGGTTAATGTGTTTATGTACGTTGTATCTGAAAAACTACATAAGTACTCCCTCTTTCCGCCTTGATTTCTTTTAGGTTTAACTAGCAGTGGCTTGTTCTTTTTTCTCTTCTTTTTTCTTTTTTCTTTTTTCTTTTTTTTTTTTTTGTGTGTGTGTGTGGTATTCGTAAGAATTGATACTGTATTCTGTAATATTATTCACTTTTGGAGACAAACTCTCCTTTTTTATCAGGGACTTTATTGGCCTAACCCCATTACAAATGCATTGCAGAATAGGTTTCCCTTCAAGAAGAGCATGTAGATATCTGTGCAGGTAACAAATACATTACAAAAGGACATTAATCAGGTGAAATTTAAAAAAAGCATCTGCTTCTGGCCTTATTCTGGAACAGGCTGCATTGGAAATCACTCAGGCTGAAGTCTTGAGTTTGTGTGAACTTAGTGCTCTGTACATATCTCTTTCAACATCCATCATTTAAAATCTCAGCATAAATTTAATTTCTCTTAAGGGTTTGTTGTTTTTTTTTTAAGTAGTGACCAATTCTTAGAGTGATTTTGGAAAGTAGGACTGCTGATGAATGCACATCTTTAAAGCAGTGTCAAACATTTGAAGAGCTGGAGCTAGTCCTTTTAATCACAAGGATAACTTCTAAGATTGATATTCCTTATTTGGCAGAGTATAATCCACACATACGGTCAGAATATTTAATTCTTAAAATCAGTGTTTTCTGCTTTGCATTCAAGTCTGTTAGTGCTGTTGATTAGATGTCAAAGCTTAGACAATTTGATCTCTAATACTCTGAACATGGCAACATCTCTAGGACACAGTGGCATTTCAGCTTATTTCGTTATTTAGATAGGGAAAGCAGAAGAGAAATTTTAAACTTTTAAAAATAAATTTTAGCAACATTCTGAAAGTTGCAAAAGACCATTGGACCCCACACCTGCTGTGTTGACTTCTGCTGACACCTTCTGACAGAGGAAAAAGCATTTATGTTACAAGAAAGAACAGAGAGTATTAAAGAATTAAAGTCAGCAAATGTATTATTCTGAAAAGAACCACATTCCTCTTCTTCTTATATGGAATGAAAGCAGCAAATCAGCATAGCTGAAAGTAGTAGGAAAACAAAATTGAAATGATAATCTTCCTAGAAGGTAGCAAGTCTTCTCCTTGCTGCTAGGCACTGGCAAGGTTTATCAACTCAGATAGTGCACTGCCAGTTTTTTCCAGCTGAGAAGCTGTTTTGGCAATGAAATAAATTATTGTTCCAGGCTCTCTTGCAATATAGGGAGATTTCCTTCAAATTCCCAGATACAGAGACATCTTTCATTATATACAACAAAGTAGTAGTTTGGGTGTGTGTTCATGTTCAGGACTCGATGCTTTTATTCCTTTCTCGGCCAACTGGATTATTTTTGTTACGGACTGTAATAGGCTTTGTCTCTGTGTCCATGAGGTACCCAAATGGACTGAGGAGAACTGCAAGGTCAGATGTAGAAATGGCTAGTAGCATTTTTCACTTTTTTTACAAGGTATTTCCTTGGTATGTTGTTAAGCCATAACACTAAGAAGGCCTCAAAGCTTCTGTCTAGTGAAATTATTTTGATTTTTGTAGCATAGTTATGCATTTGTCAATAATTCCTCAATCTGGAACATCTTTTCTTTTCATTTTTGGATACTGTTTGCTTTTCATCCAAGTGAAATAAGGTATTAATGTGGAAAATAGTACTTCCCAGAGATAAGTAGTGGCCTTTAAACAGCAGAAAGCAGATTAAGCAGCAGCTTCTTCAAATCATTTAATACATTTCATATATAAAGATTTTGTTCCTTTATTTTATTTTTTTTTATTTTATTTTATTTTATTTTTTATTTAATTATATGTTATTTCATATGTAAAGAGTAGGAATGTAGATTTCAAACTTGTGAATGACTGAGCACACGGACACAGATGGTTTGTAACTAATTTTAGGCTGTATTTTCCATTCAGATTAGCAGATCCTAATGTTAGAATTTTCATGATGCATGAAGAGTTGTCTTCAGAAGAAAAAGTTATTTATAAAGACATCGATCTCCTTCCAATGGAAAACTGCAAATGCATTATCTCTTTTCCTTACTGGTTCCAACATGCTATGAAAAAAGACTTTGTAATACTGATAACACCAATCTGCATGTCACTGAACACCTGTGTTTTACATGGTCTATTTGAAGATTAATTGCCTACTTTGCAGCAAAATCTTCTTGTTGAGAAAGCCTGATTATGAACAGTGCTTTTCTAGATCATTACCCTTAATGTAACTACATATATGAGATAATGATTATTGACTAACTGCATTTAAAAACTTCTATTTCCAAATAAAAGAAGAGGGAAAAAAAAAAGCAAGTATTTTACATCCACTTCATGGCTTTGCAGTTGACTACTGAGGAAACATCAACTCTTTAATCCATACTGGCTAGAGGTAAGGTACAAATTTTAAGATACAGTGCAGTATAAACACAGAGACCATTAATAACTGCTGAAGAATTTACCAGCAAAAAAAAAAAAAAAAAAAAAGGGAAAAGCAGGCAAATGAATTTTATTTGTTTATTTATTTATTTATTGCAGATGCAGCATATCTGTGGTTTTTCAGTACCAAAAGTGTAAGAAGATGATGGGACTGGGATAAGAACTGAAGATACATTTGATCAGAAAAAAATTACGAAGATTTCAGAGCTTACAAAGAAAATGCAATGCTTTTCTTGGCCCTATCCACTAAACTGTTTCCAATAAGAAGACTTCTGCAGCCCCAACCAACTCCACAGCAACTGTCTGTGCATGTTCAAAAGTCTTAACATGTGAGCGTCTTGGCAGAACGGAGTCTACCCGAACTCAAGGATGTGTAGAGCTTTGCAAAGTAGAGCAGCATCAAATGGGAGAAGAGCATGTTACGTATTTTTGTGTGCACCTAACTGAAACTTTGGATTATGATTGTGTCTAGGGCAAGCACAAGAGAAACATGGTTATATTACCTGCTGTGTGCTGTATTACTGTGATCACCGTACTGTAAATGACCAATTTTTCTTTTCAATATTATCCCTATAGTCAGTCACAAAAAAAAAAACCAAAAACGTTTTGCCATATCTTCTACTGAAAGTCATGCAATATCTATGTGATTCAGCTTAAGTTAATCAGAGTATATACATTAGTGTATACATTGGTATGTATTGTGATATATAATAAACATCTGATATAAATAGGCTGTTGGCCTCTGTATTTAATAAAGGCATGAAAATACCAAAGTTTGCTTATCTTTTTCTCAGTGTTCTGATCTAGATAATTATATAACACTGCACGTCACCAGCAAAGCACTTTATAAATGGCCAGAAGTCAGCCAAACGGACCTAGCTGAAAAATGTATGTATTTTCCCTTCCTTGTCAAAGGACAAGTTCTGTATGGGCTGTGCTTTGACTGTGTGATGGGCTGAGTTCAACCCAGCTCAAGGGTGCCTGGCTAGCTAGGGTTCCAACCCCATGCTGGATGCCACACAGAGGGCTGTAGCAGCATGACCATGGCCAGGTGCAAGGAGCCCAGACAGCCTCTTACTCACTCCCCATCTCCATTGGTCTGCGAATGATTAAAATAGAGTTTGGTGGTGAGAAACAAAGATGTTTTGAAATCCAGTGTATAGTTTATATTAAGTTTCTTAGTGTAAAATCTAACACTACTTAAACCCTTTTTGTGAGCTCTGCGGAAGTCTTGTTATGTCTAAAGTATGAAGAAAAACCTTCACCAGTTTCAGATGAAAGATTTAATTCAAGTTGGATACTTTTTAAAATGACTTTCCCTGTTTGTCTCCCTGACCCTAAGATATTTAGTCATTTATATTAAATGAACTTTTCTGTGAACCTCTGTTTCAAACCAGCACTACACTGTCAGACTGTGAATATGAAGTATTATCATCTTGGCCACTACATGATATTGCAATTAAAGTCCTCTTCAGCCGTTAGTTGCTTTTTCTGATCAAATGGGAACATGGCATTTCAGAGGCTGTTCACTCCCCAGATCACTTCTGCCATGTGCTTTCTCTAATGCTACATTAAATCAGAAGCAGAGCAGGAAAAGTTTTCCCTCTGGCCTAATTTGAAGGTTGGTCTCAGCTTCAGTGAACTTCCAGAGGCTTGGAAGAAGTTTTGGCTGAAGTTGGGCCTGTCACAGAGTTATCTCTAGGTCAGTCTGTGTCTGTGACGGGGACAGCAGACCCAACAGCTGGAGGAACAAAAAAAAGGGAGAAAAAAGGGAGGACCAGGGGGCTGTCAATGGTTTACAGGCCCCTTTGGCCTCGTTCTGACTAATGGGGCAGGTTCTAACAGACCCACACCCTGAGAAAGGGGAAGGAGGAAAAGGAAAATGGCAAGCAGATGAGAGATGGGCCTTAAAACAGAAGAGCGTGTTCTGTCTACTTAGGGTTTTATTAGATAAAAATTCTCTCAGTGCACATTTTGCAACAGATCTTAAATGCCTGAGAGGGATGCAGAAGAGAATAAAAGATTGAAAATGTGGAAAGGTGAGCATGCAAATCAAAAGAACTTGGGAAATAGATGCTCGTAAATTCACGTCCTATACTTCACACCAGTGCTTCAGCTGTTCAGCTGTTTGTGTGTATGCACATTAGACATCTAGAATGGCACTCTCAGAAAACTAATAGAAAACTTGCCTAAAAATTTCATAGGCACACAAAGAGGAATGACTGTGAAGTCCTTAATACCTAGATAATTATCTGATTTCTCACTGAAGTATTATAAAGTGTTATTCCACACTGAACACCTAGATGGCAGCTCTTAACTTAAATATGTTGCTCAATCAAGCCTTTAGTCTACAGGTTCTTGGTGGCTCCTCTGCTTCTGTTGAGGTTCATTTGTACAAAAGAGAACATAAGATTTACAGAGTCACAAGTGGAATGAAAATTATATAGTTAGGACATTAATTCAGGCTGCCTAAACAGAAGATGTTGTTTCCTACACTACTTTTATATAATATTTAAAATTCAGTGGACAGTGTATAAAAATAGACACTTTCTTGGGGAGGAGAACTGGAAGACTCCAAAATCCTCATTTTTCAAAGAAATGCCTTAAATATTTGAGCTACAGTCATGTTCCTTTGTGTGGTCAAACTCATTCAGCTTTGAATTATTTTAAAATACTTCAGTATTAATATTTCTTCTTTCACCATCATCTTCTGAATAACAGGCTATGACATTCAGATTAGAACAGTCTGTTGAATGCAACTCCAAGCACCTGAGAGAGAGGAGAAATACCAAAACTGGGACTCTCCTTTTCTGTTTAAGTCTCTTGTACATGAGCTAGATATCAAACAATAAGCAGTAAGGTGTTGGAACTAGGTTATCTTTAAAGTCTCTTCCAATCCAAGCCATTCTATGACAGCACCCTGCTCAAGGCACGATGACAGGCTCATAAGAAGCTTTATTGTCATAAAGGGAAGTTGAATGGTCCTACTGTGGAAAAAATGGTTTGTAGTCTCTTGTCTCATTACACTGCAGTCAGAAAAGCCATGCTTTTCTCAAGTCATTTCTCAACTTTTATTTCTAGGATACAGGCTGTTTCTTCTCTCTGAAAGAGACAGTACCAGTGAGAATGTAGCAATTTACTTAAGTGGCAAATAGTGGGTTTGACAGATGACACAGCTGAAAGTAATGTTAATTAAGCTCAATCTCCTATTGGAGGGGGCTTTGACCAACATGGTTTAGTGCAGATGTCCTGGCCTGTAGCTGGGGTGTTGGAACTAGATGATTATGAGAGCCTCTTCCAACCTGTACCATTTTGTGATCATTTTATTGTATATAAATAAATTGGCTGGGTAAGCATATCTTTTGAGGAAGAAATTTTCTTGGAAATAAGAATAAAAGCTATTTTGATGAAGACTAGAGATTTAGCAGAAGTTTTTTCTTTATTAGTGAGGAAGAAAATGAAGAGTACGTGGTGAATTATTGTTATTTTGTGATTTCTTTTTGTCTGTTTTGTATGTTATCAGCGGTATTTTTTTATTTACTTGAAAACTCACCTTGTTGGGGAGGCAGTAAGAAACTCTTCAGGAAAGTGGAGTATGCAGAACCACTATAAGGAATGTGTGTAGAAAAATATGTTGCTTTTATTATCAGAGTTCTGCTATTTAGAAAAGTAAAATGTAATATATTTCTTGCTTTTGCATATAAAACATCTAGTGTGCCTTAAAATAGCTAAGGGTATACACGAGGAAAATATTCTTTCCGTATTTTACTGGAAGTCATGCTGTTTCATGTGGGACAATTGAAGAGAACTGTTGTTATTTCTATTGTCAAGATTGTAAATGTTTTTGGAATAGCAATCATAGAATCAACAGATGTGATCAGTGTTTTTCTTCTGAGTTAAATACTTCTGAACTCAACTGTGTGGAGTCTGTTTGCTTGTGTTGTGTTGGTGGTTTTTGTTTTTTTTTTTTTCCCCAGTAGGGCATATATATGATTAGGTCTGATAAATTAATTTCAAATATGGTCATTCTAATGATTTTTTTCTTTTTTTTTTTTATGTGTCATATAGCCAGATACAGCTTTTAGCCCCTCTTGCCAACCACGTTGTCTACAGCTTATGGCAGTTTTTAATGTATGACCCAGTACAAATGTTTTACAAGTAAAAAAAAATTAAGGGTTTTTAAGGCCAGGACGGAAATAACTTGGGCAAAAGCACTTCTATCTCTTGTATGTTTCAAAACATAAAAATGTACATCTGGCTTTGAGCTGGTCTAGTTCTTCATAGTCTATTCCATAAGGATGAGTATCAGCTTGATTATCTGAGGTATTTATGCACATCTTATGTGAAGGTTTATAAGAATATTGATAAAGCAAATATGGGTTTACGTATGTTAAGGTTTATGCTGGTTATTAAAAACCATGTATATCACAAATATACGACAGTGTGCCCTATGATGTCCAAACATTAGGTTTTTATAGGTAATCAGAAATTAGCAGGTTTGCTTCACAGGATAGATAGTCATGACCTTGTGCTTCTGGAAAACGAAACCGAAATGGGTGAGGAACATGCACAGTACAGATGAACAACTCTGCGAACTGTTCCCTCTGTCTTCATTGTTGGGGCAGAAGGAATGTAAGGATTTTACACAATTGATCCATCTTCTCAAATTCCCATGTTACCTTATTTTTATTTTGGATTTTGTTGCCTGGTACTGTGCGATGTTCTAGAAAATACTCTTGTTATTAATATGTTGTGCAATTAGCAAGTAACTCAGGTGGTGCCAGTATAAGGAAGAAAAAGTGAGAATATCTGATGCTCTCTTTCAGTAGTTCATGACCGAAGCAAGTTTTTTTGTTGTTGTTGTTTGTTTGTTTTGAGTACTGGTCTCAAAAATAACCGTTCTGTATTGGATTGTAGTGATGCCTAAATATAAATAAACTGGATCTTACATAACAGTTGGTCTTGAGAAACACTGGTGATAACTGTCTCAGAGTATTCATTATTGCCTCTTTGAAGTCCAAACATTGATTTCTGGCATCTTGTATTTACTTTATTTCCTTAAGCATTTTGCAAAATCTCTTAACTAATTGAAATTTCTCATGATCTTCTAGAAGGAGAAACCCAGTAGAAATACTTTTAATACAATTAAATTAACTTTACGTGTCTGGGTGACCTGGCACTTTGGAGATCATAGCCTTAAGAATCAATACCTCATTTGCTGAAACAGTTACAAAATGGGCTGTGCTATTGTGTCGGTCTGCAATTAATTCTGTGGAAATGAGTAGTTCTCATCTGACATTGATGTTTAAGTGAAAATGTGTTCCTCAGTATCTATAAAAGGGTCTTGAAAAGGAAGGCCATGCTTTCACTTCTGTGAAGGCCCTTTACTTGGCAGTATATCAAAAACTGAGCACGAATGTTATATGCAAGGGACAAAAAAATGCTAATGAGATTAAAATTAGTTCCTTGGGTAGGAATTTTTTTCTCCTTAGTTACCTTTCACCCACCCTTCTCCAATGGCCCCTCCTTTGCCAAAGTGCTAAGTGATTTGTGACTTTCTATTTGTTAAATTTGATCCATTGCAGTGTGAATTCCAAATCATTCTTAAAACAAAACCAAAACTGTTCAGCAGTTGCTAAAAGTTTCTTGCTTTGTACGCAAGCCAAATGTCAGTAACTTTTTCAGAGGAGACAGACTCCTTAATATAACGAGACACTTGCTGCATGCTTCTGCATTAAGTGACATTGAATTGCTGAGATATTGGCAAACCTGTCCAGTAGACACTCAGCTTGTCTTCCTCTGCTGGTTCTAGTTCACTTAACTTATGCTGACTCTCCTCTTTTGTTTTGTCATCTGAGAATTTCCTATTCAATGAAAACCTCCTTTTGAGACTAATTAAAATCAAGCTAGAGAGATTCTTTGAAGCAAAAGCACTATAAAGAATTAAACTCTCATTAGGAATATGAGAATATTATAAATATTAAATTCCTACCTTCCTCATTTTTTTGCAATTGATCTTATAGTTGTATACTTGTGATATTTAAGAACTGATAATAGAGGTTGCTTTCTTATTTTCCATACTGCTTTTATTTGCATGTGTTATTTCATACATGTGGTGTCTGCTGTTGTTGGAAAGTTATGAGAAGTGTCTGCTGATTTTAAGTAAGAAATAAAATCTTTCTCATTTCTTGAATTAACTTATTATACAGTAACATCTGAATTATTTTTGTGGTCAGGTTCTGGGTTCTTATTAATTTCTGTCTACTGAATGCTGCAGACTATTTGCAGGTAGGTTGAGAATAGACTGTCTGGATGTAGTAAGTAGCAGTGAGTATTTTTGTATTAAATGAGCATCTCCTAATCTTAGCCTGTTAGTACATCCTGGACGTTATTTTAATATTGCTTGTCATTTAGGAATCTGTGACAAGAATTATCTGAAGTGACATAAGACCACGAAAGTAGACTATCTTCAGCTTTCTTGTACTGTAAAGTGCTTTAACTCCATTGTCTCAGTTCCCTGTAAGACTGA